GTATGTGTTGATCGTATGTGATGATTGTATGTGATGAATGTATGTGAAGATGTATATGATGATTGTATGTGTTGATTGTATGTGTTGATTGTATGTGATGAATGTATGTGAAGATGTATATGATGATTGTATGTGTTGATTGTATGTGATGAATGTATGTGAAGATGTATATGATGATTGTATGTGTTGATTGTATGTGTTGATTGTATGTGATGAATGTATGTGATGAATGTATGTGAAGATGTATATGATGATTGTATGTGTTGATGTATGTGATGATTGTAGGTGATGATTGTATGTGTTGATGTATATGATGATTGTATGTGATGATTGTATGTGATGATTTGTATGTAGATTGTATATGAAGATGTATGTGAAGATGTACGTGAAGATGTGTTAAATGTCATTGAGTAGTGTAGACTTGCATACACAAACATGATGAACGATTGCACGCTACTGTTGGGAGGTTGTTGTCACGATGTGATGTTGACGTTGTTGGTCGGATCCTTGGGAGATATTTTTTAATATTGTTATTGTTTTAACATCATGGGCAATTCTTTCTTCGTTCTAAAAAAAATACAGTTGGAACTTGATGGAATATTTTTATTGCGGCCATTAGCTACTGTTCGCATATTCAAACCTTATTCAAAAGTTCTCAAATCTCCCAGAGTTGTTCAGGATATAAATTGTGTGCGTGCGTGTGTGTGTATGTGCGTGTGTGTGTGAGAGTGTGTATGTATGTGCATATGTATATAAATGATTCAAAACATCATTTTATATTTAATCACTTAAGCATAAGAATAACTTATCTAAACGATTTTGTGTTTATAGTTATAAGCTTGCAATAACATAAAATAAACTTGCAGAATGAACTCACGTGTGTGTTGCATCATTTTTTTAGTTATTTTATTTTTCTTAATTTATTTTTCTCGCTTTTTATGATTTAATGAATTAACATCATTAATTTGTTTATTAGTTTTTGTTTAATTTCCTTATATAATAAATTTTATTTCATTAATTTATTCGTTTATTTCATATAGTTAATTAATTTTATCATCAGATTCCAATAGAAAAAAAATCATTCATAAATACTCCAATGTATTTGCCACACAACACATGCATGCATACATACATACATACACACACACACACACACACACACACACACACACACACACACACATATATATATATATATATATAATACATATTGATACATACATACATACATTACATACACACATACATACATACATACATACATACATACATACATACATACATACATACATACACACACACACACACACACACACACAGACATACATAAATGCATACATATAAACACACACATTCACACATACATCCATACATACATGCATGCATATGCATGCATTTTCATACACATGCATGCATGCACTCATATACGTACAAACAGTGCACATATACATACATCCTTGCTATATATCCTTGTTTATGAAGTGCTATACATTGAAACAACAATAAGTGGTTTCTTCATTTCAGAATTCAGCACAGTGTGTACGAGCGTTCGTTGTATTAGGTTTATAACATGATACGTTGATGTTGTGGACTAGTATACAACTAAGAAAAGTATCGTGTATTAACTAACATTGCGTGGAGGTACTGTTGTAGTGCGTTATTTGGCTTCAAGTTAAGATCACAACATCTTTGTTGATGTTGTTGTTTGGTTTGTTGGTTGGTGTATGACGGAGTGTCCAGAGTAATCCAACATCACCTACACATTGACTCATTTGCCAAGCTAACTCATTTTTAATTTTTATTTAAGAAAATAAGTAAATAAATATTGTACTGTTAAGGGAAAAGTAATTCCCAATAGTTCATTGTTAGCTAATTGGTGTCCTTTTAAAATTTTAAATCGTGATAAGTTTTGAGGCCGTCAGATTCTTTATCGGATTAATAACATTAAACTATAATTAAACTTTTTAATTAAATTTAATAAAAGTTTAATAACTAGATAACATCGGTTAAAAGTTAAAATTGCTTCAAATAAACATGATCATAATTGACATTTCATACAGATGAATCAACCTTAAATATGGTTTAATTATTTATAATATTTTATTTTTTCGTTTTTCATTATATGAGATTATTATTTTTTTAATATTTCGCAAGTTAATTGATCCCTGGCCAATCTATTAGTGATGATTCCAACCTTGTTTATACATTACACAGTGGCAAAATTTAAACTTTTATTCGGTTCATCCAGCAGTCAGACGTAATGATGGGATGATTCTACCAACCAACTTTTGTGATTGAATCATTATGATGAACTAAGAATCAATTATTTAATTAATCAATTATAGAGCATTTGTTTGATCAATCTATTAATTAACCGACCGACCAACCATTTATTTTTAAACAAACAATTAATCCAATAAGTTTTCAAATAATCAATCAATCAAACAAACAAACAATCAATCAATCAATCAATCAACCAGCTATTGTCAGACTAACCAACTAGCCAATCAACCAAAAATTAAACATCTTATCTCATAACCAGCCTATCATTCAAACAACCAACCAATCAATCAACCAATTGAATGCCATTCCCCAAAACCACCCAACCAATCAGAGAACGAGGTAGTGACTACGTACAACCCTGAGACGAACGAGATCATCAAACACCACTCTAACATCTACATCGATCGAACAAAAATCTTCGAGCAGTTTGGAAAAAACAAAACAACAGGTTTCCATTCTTGTCCATTCGGTGTTGAATGAATGAGTGAGTGAGTGAGTGCGTGAGTGCGTGAGTGAGTGAGTGAGTGAGTGAGTGCGTGAGTGAGTGAGTGAGTGAGTGGATGAATGGATGGATGGATGGATGAATGAATGAATAAATGAATGAATGAATGAATGAACAAATGAATAAATAACTTAGTTAAAGGAAAATGAATGAATGAATTGGAGTATTAATAAAGGAATGAAGATGTGTGTGTGGAGTATGCGTGTGCGTGTGTATGCATGTGTGCTTTATTTCAAAACCATGAACCAAATACGTCTGTTGAAGTGCTACCAGCTCAAGTTTACGATTCATAAAAGTTTTTTCTGGCGATTATTATTGCTCCGTTGACCTCCTTTTGCGATATTTCGCCATGTTTGATATTTTTCACTATTCTTTCACGCCAAAACATTCGCAAAGATTTTTCTTCTGTTTTATTTCTTTTTTGTGTTAACTATTCTTTTTCTATCTTTCTATCATCACCACTATCATTATCACCTCTCTCTCTCTCACTCTCTCTCTTTCTCTCTCTTTCTCTCTTTCTCTATCTATTATCCATCTGTCTCTTTTTGACTCTCTGACATATATGTTATATAAATTAGACGTACTTATATACCATTAAGATATTTATGAGTTGCTTTTTCAGCGTCTCAAAGGCATTTTGCGATGTTAAAGTCAATTTGAAAGCTAAATTATGTCCAAACCCGCGTCTGCAACCCTTCTTAAAATGTTAAAAGTCACATGCCATAGGATAAAATCGGCCCCTGTTTTTGGCCCTTGTTGTAGGCCCTTCAATCCTTACCCTACCTCTTCATCACAGATACATCAGTGGGGAAGAAGCAGATGCCAGAGGCCTCCAAACCCAGACCTAAAACTGCTGGGCCACACCAATCCTACAACAACAACAGCAACATCAACACTAGCAATAACGATATTAACATTACTACCAACAACGTCAACTACAATAGCAGTAGTATTGATAACATCAACCGAAGCAACAACAACATTGATATCATTGTCAGCCTGAATAACAACAACAACTACTACTACAACAACAACAACAACAACAGGTCAATCAATAGTAATGAGAATATTAACAACATGAATAACAACGGGGAAGATAGCAACAACAACAACAACAACATAGACAACACAGACAACAACATTAACAATAATAATAACAACAACAGCTTAAACAATGCGAACAACGACATAAACAACACAAGCAACAGCAGTGGCAACTCCACACAAATGGTTGCTTTTTCGAAGTATGTTTACAGAACTTTAATTTATATTCGACCCAGACTATCATCATCGTCGTCATCATCATCGTCATCATCACCATCAAAACCATCATCATCTGTCTCTTCATCATTCCGATTCTATCTTAAAACCATTTTTATTATTCTTCTCATCCCCATCATTGTT